GAGTTCTACTCTGTAACACATCATGGCAGTGTGAGTCGGAATCAACCAGAAGAATGGATTTTCATGCCACTTCCACCTGACCCCTCAAGTCTCCTTATACCTTCTTTTAACTTGTCTTTTAAGTCATAGGCTTTATCTCACCCTTCTCCTTACATGAAGGGGCTTTAAAACGCTCGTAGAAAAATTCCATTCTTTTATTCCATTTTCCACCAACTTTTTGAAGCTCCCGCATATGATAGCTGCTCCTAGACTCAAACTCCATGGACAGAGCCTGGGTCTTGTTTCATCTAGCATTTCTAGTACTATCATGGAGCCTTCTATAAAACAGATGCTCAATTAATGTTTGAGGAATAATAGATCCAGTGAACAAGTGGTATAATTTATTAGGATGTATTATTCCATATTCTTGAATATGCTAAGCATATTCTGGTATAAATCTTTTAATATTACAGAACAATACAAGTGATGAATGAGACCAAGAATTGACCATCTTTTTTTTTTCATTTATATCTTGATGTCACCTTTTTTTTTTTTCTGCTGAATTATTTCACATGTCCAAGAAAATGCATTTTCCATATTATCTTATTTCCAAATGACTAAATAAGGACTATTTTCTTATTTGTTTTACAATTACTCTTAAGACTCGTATTCAGCAATAAATATTTGACCAATTTCATTCATAAGATTAGATTCCAAAGCTAACTAGACTTTATATTAAAACAAATAACATTCTTCCCTTGCAAAAAATTCAAACTGCCGCACAGAAAAGACAAACGTGCTAAGTACTTTATTGTCTCCAACTCCAACTAACCCTCCCCTCCCCACCCCTAAAAGTTTGTTGACTGCAAACTTGCCAACTTCAAATGCAAAATGAAGAATCTTCTTTAGGATTCACTTAGAACAGGAGGACCTTTTAGACAAAGCTCTGGACCGTGCTTCAGCCACGGCACTAATTCGAGCTCTTGCTGCAGCTCTGGCGTGGGCTCTCTCTTCTTCATCTCTCAAAGCTTCTTCATACCAGGAAGGGAAAGCTTGAGGGGTAGTATCATGGACCTTGGCCAAAAATTCCAGGACTTTCATCTTCGTGGTTTCAGCATAGGCTCTGGGACCCCACCGAAACTCATAAGATGGGGGATCACTGTTGGGCACCTGTCGGTACTCCAGATACTTTTGTTTCACCATATCTCTGGTAATGATCTTCTTTGGCTCCCCAAAGATGAAGTGATTCTTGCCAGGATACAATCCTATCACATTGAGCACTTCCCAGACTTGCTTCTCAGTGGCGAATTTGCCCTTCGTGAAAATCACACCAAGGACAACCATCAGGAGACCTGTCTTGGGCACACCTATTTCATCACTTATCCTCACATCATAGCTTAATTCCAATTTGTTGACGAGGACATAGATGTGCCTATTCGGGTCCATTTCCTTCAGGTCAAGGCCAAAAACCAGCTCTAGGTAGTCAGCAGCATTCTGAAGGATCTTAGAGTAGTGGTTCCGATATATTTGGACTATGGTTTTCATGATGTCTGTCTTTGTAATGAGCTCTTTCATTTTATACTTGTACAGCAAGTAATGTACCAAAGCAATCACCTTCTTTTCTATCATGGTTTTCTGCAACTGCTCGATGGTGGGCTGGACCTGCCTAGAGCTTGGACTGGCTTGGTACGTGGCATCTTCGTTGGCTCTTGTGGATGGAACAACTTCATCATTATTGCATGACCTAGCAGCTGGCATATTCTGGGGAGTATTCTTGACACTGGGAGTGAAAGAAGACATAGATTCCTCTTTGACTGCTGCATTGGCCTCATCACCCTTTACATCCAGGGGCACATCTTGGGCCTGGTGGCGTTTCTTACGGGCTCTGAGCTTACTATTCTGACCCCGAGGCATGATAAGTCTGGTCAGGAGCAGAACACAGGTGGGCAAGTGATGTGGGCACCTGGGAGAGAGAGGATAAGATATGGTGGGCAGCCCTTCATCAGAGAGAGAGGGCACCTTGGTTTTGATAAAGAAAACCTCTGCAGGTTTCCTTGAGAATACTGCTCTAAGAAAACACTAGGAGTCTGTTATTTAATTAGCCTGTCCACTGAGGACTCTATGGAAGGAACTAGAGTGGGCCTTAGGCTGTTGCCTGTCAGCTCTACCTGTGGCTTACTGGGGTGACCGCAGGGGCTGATAGTAGGACCCTCTCTATTGCAGGAAATGGGGGTACTCTTCATTCACACTCAAACGCATCATTATCAACTGTTGGCAGGACTCAGATGCTGTGGACTCTTTAGTTCTAGGAGCTAAGTGTCTCTATCAGTTCACATTCAGGGCCATCACCTTGACTCTGGGAGGACCTGGGATGCCTATGCTCTACTGATTTTATCTCACTGAGATCCTGGAGGAGGAATTGAGGAAGCAACTCATGTGACCACACCTGCCTGGAGCCATCAGGATGACAGCAGTGAAGGGCCTCTAGGGGACCCTCTCTGTGCTGGGGTAATTAGTGTTCTGACTCCTGTGTAGGACCTAAGACTCCTGCTTCTGTTGCCATAAGACCTATTCTCTAGGAGCAATGCCCTGACGTCCCTGAAACTCTTGAGGAGAAAGTTGAGGAACTTCAGCCTAAACTGTCTATCTCAGGGTTTCTCAGGGCTGAAATCACTGGCAAGGTTCTCTGGAACCCCCATTCTGGGGCATATGATGACTGTAGGCCTCACTTGGGGTCTTTATCTTGACCCTTAACAGTAGCTGGGACTCCTCTTTTTTCTGACCTGAGATCTATGCCCTCAGACCATGATTTTTCATCTGTCTGAAAACAAAAGTCAGAGTGAAGGCCTTCTCATCCTGCCACACTGGCATCTCCTGCGGTTTCCCAAGGCTAACTTGTAGTCAGGCAGGTAGGATATATATATTAGCCTATCTTTCTGGATGGGTGATTCCTTCGATTCTTAGGTTCTTTACCTTGTCTTTTCACCTTGGCTACCATGTCCTCTTTCTCTACTCCTTATCTGGCTCCTAAGACCAGAAGCCTCATCTCCAGGAACCACCTCTATCCATGAAGTGGGGAGGTATCTCAAACTGACAGCCCTGCATGGGACATCCTAGAGCTGAGGAAGGACAGGGCTCTGTGAGGTTCCATTTGTTCTAGGGTGGGTGGTCCTCTCAGACCTTGGGTTCTCCTTAATTACTCCTCAACTTGACTTCAGTGTCCTCCCTCTGCAGTCTAGAGACCTGCTCCAAACAAAGGCTCTCATCTCCTTGATGTGCTGAGGGGGAACTCACACTAAGTGATCAGTCCAGGGCATCCTGGGGCTGACCTCAGGGGCAGGGCCTGACTCTCTGCCCTTTTCTTTGTGTGTGTGGTACTCTCTGAGTCCTTACTTGAGATCTGCATATTGATTGCTGGAAGGGTTGGGACCCCTTCATCTAAAAACCTGAGGATGTAAATGCAGAGAAAAGCTAATAGACTACAAGGTAATCCCAAAGAAATTTAATACTCCACAACATATCATGAAAACGAATTCCCAAACAGAACAAGTGAACAAAGAAACTAGGAAGAAACCAACCAGAATCAACTAAAAAAACACAAACCCAACACAAGAAGGAAAGCAGAACAAAAGAACGAACACCACCACCAAAAAAGTAACATGATGACAGTAAACAACTCATACTTATCGATAATTACATTGAATGTCAATGGATCGAATGCACCAGTGAAGAGACAGAGTGGCAGACTGGATAAAAAAACAAGAGCCATCAATATGCTGCCTGAAAGAGACACACCTTACACACAAAGACAAAAACAGACTAAGAGTCAAAGGATGGAAAAAAATTTACCAAGCCAACACCAGCAATAAAAAAGCTGGAGTCATGATACTAATCTCCGACAAAGTAGACTTTAAGATAGAAACCTGCATAAGAGACAAAGAAGGACACTATCTCATGATCAAAGGGTCAATTGAGCAAGACGACATAATCATAATAAATATATATGCTCCCAACGAAAGAGCACCAAGATACATGAAGCAAACCTTAATGGAATTGGAGAAAGAAATAGATAAATCCACAATTATAGTAGGAGACTTCAACACATCACTCTCAAAAAGGGATAGAACAACCAGAAAGAAACTCGACAATGCCACAGAGGAACTTAACAACGCAATCAACCAACTTGACCTCATAGATATATACAGAACATTCTATCCAACAATGGCACAATACACATTCTTCTCCAGTGTGCATGGAACATTTTCCAGAATTGACCATGTGTTAGGCACAAAGCAAGCCTCCATAAATTCACAACCATCAAAATTCTACAGAGCATCTTTTCAGACCACAATGCTATAAAACTAGAAATCAACAATAAGAAGGCCAAAACAATAAAGTCGAATACATAGAAAATGAACAACACCCTGCTGAAAAACGATTGGGTAAAAGAAGAAATTAAACTTGAATTCACAAAGTTCCTAGAAACAAATGAGAATGAAAACACAACATATCAAAATCTTTGGGACATGGTGAAAGCAGTCCTGAGAGGTCAATTTATTGCGATAAATGTACACATCCAAAAAGAGGAAAGAGCCAAAAATCAACACATTAACACAGCACCTTCAACAACTAGAAGCAGACCAGCAGAGGGAACCTACAGTCACCAAAAGAAGAGAAATAATAAAGATCAGAGCAGAAATAAATGAGATGGAAAACCGAAAAACTATAGAAAGAATCAACAAGACAAGAAGCTGGTTCTTTGAAAGGATTAATAAAATTGACAAACCATTGGCAAAACTAACTAAAGAAAAGAGGGAGAGGACACAAATCAATCGCATTAGAAACCACATAGGTAAAGTCACAACAGAACCAAACGAAATCAAAAAGATAATAACAGAATACTAAGAAGAGCTGTCTGTACTCCACCAAATTCGAAAATTTGGATGAGATGGATACATTTCTAGAAAAACACGACCTACCTAAACTTACTCAGACTGAAGTAGAAAATCTGAACAAACTCATAACAAAAGAAGAAATTGACCAGATCTTCAAGAAACTCCCGACCAACAAAAGCCCAGGCCCAGGTGGCTTCACGGGTGAATTCTACCAAACATTCAGAGAAGAACTGTCACCAATTCTACTCAAATTATTCCAGAACATAGAAGAGGATGGAAAACTCCCTAATACTTTTTATGAAGCAAGCGTAACCCTCATACTAAAAACCTGAGGCTGCCCCTCTCAGATCTAAGACCTCAACTCTAAGATCCCTGAAGCATACGTAACAAGTGAGACTTCACAATCTTGCTGACCGGCTCCCAGAGAGAACAGTGAGCATGGGACTGTGTTGGTGGTGGCACTGGTGGTTGTGTGTTGTCGAGTCGTTTCTGACTCATGTTGTTAAGTGCGTAGAGTCTATTGCGACTCATAGCGACCCTGTAAATCTTTAAGGGAGCAGAAAGCCTCCTCTTTCTCCCGCGGAACGGCTGGTAGTTTCGAACTGCTGACCTTGAAGGTTAGCAGCCCGACTGGTAACCATTACGCGACCAGAGTTCCTTGGTGGGACTGTATTAGGCTTCATATATTGGAGCTCAGGTAGCGTAGTGGTTACGAATCGGGCTGCGAACCTTAAGGTCTGCAGTTCGGAACTACCAGCCACTCCGCGGGAGAAAGAGGAGGCTTTCTGCTCCCGTAAAGATTTACAGCCTCGGAAACCCTGTACAGAGTCGCTAAGAGTCGGAACCGACTCCACAGTACTTAACAACAACAGTTCCCAAATCAGCGTTTCCCCTAGACCTCACTTAGGATCGGTACCTTCTCCTCTGGCTCTCCTCCCTCTAAGGACCACTGACTCCTTCTACCCCTGGTGGGTTTCCAGGCAGCAGCCTCTTGTCCCCGTCCCGCCCCTCCCCTCCCCACCCCACTCCTTCTATGACAAGACAATCAGGCTGAGGCCCACGAGCCCAGCTCGTCTCCATGGATCCACGTGTGGCATCGCTGGTTAAAGCGCTGGACCGCAAGGTCGCTTTGAACCACAGAGTTGGTGGTTCAGGCTCACCAGCTGCTCCTCGGAAACCCTACACAGGGTCACTATGGGTCAGAACCGACTCGACTGCACTTCACAACTATTATAAGGGGAGGGGTGCCCTCAGACCTCACATGCTATTCTCACTTTGGCTGATTTGGTAGTCTAGAACCCCTCCCTATACTTGTCTGAAGCTGAAACCCTTGTCCGATGCCCTCATCTCAGTTCCCTCAGGGGAACTCAAGAGGGCGCTTAGAAGTTCTATTTTAGGCCATATCTGTAGGGTACAGCCAGCGCTAAACTCTGGGGGAGGGGCCCTCCATATAGGAGGCATTACGCAAGGATTTACCTATTCAAACAAGACCTGAAACTCCTCTCTCAGTAGAACTCTCGAAGTCACAGAATTCTGTCAGACATTTGACGGAAGTCAGTGTACATCACATCCATTCATCCTAAACCCCGCCCCTCCAGGGTCTCTCAGTGCTGACAGCAGGGGCAGGCTCTTTGCCACCTGATCTGTTCTGGGTTGATAGTTCCTTGAGACTTTGCCCAGGGTCCACTGGCTTTACTTATGTACTGTTTAAGGAGCTCTGGTAGTGTAGTGGTTACGAATCGGGCTGCTAACCTCAAGGTCGGCAGTTCGAAACTTCCAGCTGTTCTGCGGGAGAAAGAAGAGGCTTTCTGCTCCCGTAAAGATTTACAGCCTCAGAAATCCTGTGCAGGGTCACTATGAGTTGAAATCGACTCCACAGTGCTTAACAACAACATGTTACTGTTTGGGACCTTTCCCTCCACTGCTGTGATCCAATGCCTTCAACTCACTGAGCATCCCTAAAGATAGTTCAGAGGGTGCTCAGAGGGTGAGGTATCAAAGGATCCCTAGTCAGACTGC